TGACCATTCGTTCCTTCCCCATCGCCATCGTCACCCTCGCTTCTCTTCAGAAGATCAGAATCGTGATGAGCAACACCACTGAGTGCGACGCTGGATGTGCTGCTACCTATCCCGGGTCCTATTGTAAGTACTGGCAGACACCTAGCACGTGCTTTGGCTCAAATGAACCATGCTCCTGCGGAACGAGTGGAACGACTGAAGCTCCCCGTAACTGTGATGCTGGTTGTGCTTCGGATACCCCCGGCTCCTATTGCAAGTACTGGGCTAAACCCAGCCTCTGTCATTCATCCAATGCGCCATGCACATGCGAGGTTGATCCAGTTACCACTACTTCTGGTGAAACCACCGATGAGGTCACAGAGACTCCTGTGGTTCAAGAAAGCACTACAGACGTCATCGAGGAAACTAGTACGGCCGCTTCTATTGCTGTTGACACCACCGAAATAACCAGTACCGCCATTGTAACCGATGAAGTAGCCACCACTACTGCAGCTACCGCCACTGATGAGATCCCTGTTTCCACTACTGCTGAGGAGGCCACCGATGCCTCAGCGACCACGGATTCTCCAGTTACGGCTACCGCTGTCGCCACCACGGCCGAGGTCATCACCGAGGCCCCGGCTACCGCTGTCGCCACCACGGCCGAGGTCACCACCGAGGCCCCGGCTACCGCTGTCGCCACCACGGCCGAGGTCATCACCGAGGCCCCGGCTACCGCTGTCGCCACCACGGCCGAGGTCATCACCGAGGCCCCGGCTACCGCTGTCGCCACCACGGCCGAGGTCATCACCGAGGCCCCGGCTACCGCTGTCGCCACCACGGCCGAGGTCACCACCGAGGCCCCGGCTACCGCTGTCGCCACCACGGCCGAGGTCATCACCGAGGCCCCGGCTACCGCTGTCGCCACCACGGCCGAGGTCATCACCGAGGCCCCGGCTACCGCTGTCGCCACCACGGCCGAGGTCATCACCGAGGCCCCGGCTACTACCATTGAAGCGATTAACGCTGAGACTACTTTCAGTCCGAGTACGTAGCCTTACGTAAAATGAAGCTTCGACATGTTCGGTGAACCGCATTTTCATACAGCCCAGGTAGCGGCACTGCATGACGTCTTGATAGTGTATGAGTGCATATTTTCGAGTTGCGTTGATAGTAGTGGTGGACACCACCATACTAAGGGTATCGAGAGGGTATCTTGATCTATCGCTACTTAACAGTGAATGATCACTATTGCGGACAAGCCGAGGTCCTTATGAAAATCTCTCAGTAGTCAGTGGGTATGTGGGGAGGCTGTGAGCATCGAGGTGTCTGAACGTTCTCAGCAAAGTAAGCCGATATTAAAAGGAGTAGCAGCTGCAAGCTGTCGTCCTCCTTCTCTTATTAGTTAGATTCAAGATTGTAGCTCAGCTATACTACGATGAGATTGGAGGAGCCAGTGTGACCGATGTTGACAGCATGCTGAGAATCCTGTTGCTGCTGCTGCTGCTGA